ATGAATTATATAATACAGACCATATAGTTTATTGTAGACACCCACCCACCCACTATGAATCAAAAGAGAATGTCCAAAACCACTATATAATCTCCTTACTAGTTACAAATAGCAATGTGAGAGAAAATCAGACAGATATATAAATTGGTGTGTTATTTGGGTGTGTTTAATATAGTGATATCTCAGTAAAGCCAAATAGCAAATGTTATATTCTGGCTTTTCTATTGTATGTTTCTACTCAGCTGGATATTGAAATGCATACAAGGGTTGAAAGAAACTCTAAATTGAGAAGTGAAATTGTAAATAAATATTTCCTTAAAAAATTAGAGGTAATATAATACAAAAACTTTAATTGTAAACTATATTTTGATGCCATACTTATTGACACACATTGATAATAAAGTAGTTTTATTAATTGTTGAATGTAACTAAAAGAAAGGTTATAACTTTCGCACTTTGACCCTCCAGTATATCTATCTAATAAATAATGGCTACAACTGAATAACAGATCAAATATGAAATAACTCATAATAAATATATATACTCAAACATCTTTAATGCAAAACTTTATATTTTCTCTTTCCTGCTTCAATTTTTCAAAACAATAGGCTTGCTCAAGTTTGCTCCTGAAAAGTTATTTCAATGACAACAAAAAACAAGAGGAATTATTAAAATCATTAACTAAAACAAATTCCTAAAATCAAGGCAACACCATCTATGCCAGATATATGCAAATGAATTCAATTTGTGATAACAAAAATTCTCAAATATATTTAATGTAAACAGACACAGACAAAACAATTATTTATGTGATAATTATTGTTTATTTATATGCCAGAGAAGTTTAGCACTAGCCCAGTCACAGGCTCTCCTGCCAGTGGTGGTATCTTTGCAACATGGTTGTAGTGTGCAATAGAGATAGCATTATATGATCCCTAATTCCAAATCACAACCACTAGGATGCAACTGGCCAGCAGAAACTACTTTTACTTATAGTAAAGGCAAAACTTGTATAAAAAAAATCACTGTGACCCAGACTTTTCCAACATCCTGTAGGTAATTATTTATAATTTTGGAAATTTTCAGTTTCCCAAATACCAAAGAAGAATAACTTTTTAAAACTAATTATCAAATAGTAATACAGAACTTAAAATATACGAAATTTTTATTCCCATATATCATTACATTACCTAAAGAAAAATACATCAAATCAATATATAATTACAAGACCATTTTGTTACTAAGAATATATTCCACACCTTTTTTGTGAGGTTCCATCAATAGCTTCTTTAAGCTTTTCTTCAAAATCATCAGATAATGCTTCTTCTTCTACTTCTTCTGCCCCTTTTAATTGCAGTAAAAACAATTTAAATTTTAAAATTAAAAATGTTTATTGTATTACAATTAAGTCTGTGTAATTTAATTATTACTTGAACAGTATAACAATTATTAGAAAAAGAACAAACCAGTGTCAGGTCTGAATTCCAACATTTAATTTTGTATTTTTTCTCAGAAAAATAACATTTTTATACATTTACTATGAACAGGTGCACAGATTTAACACACCTGTTGTAAGATACGTCTTACTGCATTGCAAAAAAAAGAAGACAGATTAAATAGTTTGAAACTTCAAAACTTTTTAAAGATTATGTACCTTCTGCAAATAAAATATCTTATTTTGTATATGATATTTGTATGCATTTGCAGTTTTGGAAATTCAAGAAACATTCATTTTAATATGTTTTCTAAGAACCAATTAAAAATACATAAGTTTGATTCCTCTACAACTATATGTATTCTTCGCCTGAACATCAACAAAACTTAATTTTGTATATTAAGTCTTTAGTAAACAGTAAACATAATAACCTATATTTTATATTAAGTGTGTAAACCATTGCATAACACAGTAATTACAATAACTATATTTAAGTAATTTCTGCAGTTATATATAATTAGTGATTCCCTAGCAAAAAACAATGCTGATTTCAAAATTATTACTGTTTTGCTTCTTCTAGCTCACTTAAAGTTGGTAATGTTGTGGTAGCCAGTCATTTCACATTATACCATTATTCAGGATTACCATGGGAGATTGGTACCTCAATTTTTAATTGCTAGCCTTTATATATGTTAATGGGGTACATTATTGCATTCCTTCACACAATTAATATAATTGTCTGCTGTAATGAAAGAAGTAATACATTTTACAACAGTTTACAGATTATCTTACTTCAATATTATAAACATAAGCAAAATGTTCGCTGCCAAAATTCATTGCAATCAGATGCTATTAGCAGCTGAAAATACTAAATTGTGCCCAAAACTTATTTCCCTTATGGCTAGTTTCCAATACATATCAGAAAAATCTTAAAATTTCCTCCCGAGAAAACCAGATTGCTTAATAAAATATTTTTATTAAGAATTTGCCTGTGAATTTATGAAGCCTTTACTGAGTCAGTCTAAGTGATAGGTGATTTTCATGGTTAGACTAAAGATATTTCTATTAGTCTTCCATTTTTCTTGGTTCATCTACATGATGTCTAGAACCTCCTAAATGAATGACAAAATATTTTTTTTTTAGTAAAACTTTTCCCATATTTTCTCCACCTTAACACTAACTGCAACAACATCATCAGTAGCAAAAGTTAAAAATATGAAATAAAATAGTCTTCTTTTTCTAAAATGACTGCAGATTGTAACTCCCAATTACAATTAATTACTGTACATGATGTCAGAAAAACACATAGGTTCAAAAAGTCTTAATATAAAATGATGCAGATCCACCTCTTGAAAGCACTAGAGTTACACGGTTTTTATCATTTTATAGTTACTTATCATAAACAACCTCAGGCTAATTTCAGTTTCACATCTATTTTCACTTAATTTCATTGTTTTTGCTATTCTTTAAACTATGCCTAACTAGCATAACAAAGCAATAAATCTCCTGGCAAGAGCTTAGTGCATGTTAAGGTAAATAAAGTATTAGCCACATCACACAACAGCAGCCTGCGTGCATTCCACAAAGATAATTTTTTTTCCCCCATTCAAGTTTCTTAAACAACCTAATGAGTTTTAGATTTTTACATTTAAATTACTTTTACTAAGAAATATATAATAAATAAAAAATATACATTAAAACCAGGAAACTTACACTTATTTTAACCTTCAGGCTTTTTGCACATGGATGTGCAGTATGATAAACCTATTTTTTCTATGTTGCTTGAAAAAAATAATTCATGTAGGTTTCATATATGCATTCAGAACACAAAAAATATCAAACACTAGATTAGAATATCCCAAAACTATAACTAATTTGGCTTGATAACAAACCTATAAATATATTTGAAAACTTTCATTGGAGCAATGTCTTTCGTCTAAACACACTAAGCCCTGAAGGCAAATTATCAGCTTTTACTGCTCAAAAGTGCCACCAAGTCATGTGACTATTTAAATATTTCCTTTTTAAATTGAAAAATTTAAACTGAACTAGTATAAAAGAACTAAGTTATCAATGTATGGTAGTGAACTTGGGAGCACAATGTAGTTCATAATTCAATTAAATAGTTCAACTAAATTTTGAATGTAACTCTGTAAAAAAAAATGTTGTGGCATGAACACTTTTATCTACCCATATCCATTGTTAATGAGCAGAGGTTGGCACTAGAGCAGGGCAATTTAAATGATTAACTGTTAGCATCTATTAGTGTCACACAAATTAATCAATTATTCAAAATTAAGATTAAACTGATTAATATTACGAGAAAAACCAACTAGTTGAAATTGGTGTTTCTGATTATTTCAACAAAAAATAATATTTAAGACTCCCAGCATTTGTTAATGAGCAATGATTAGCACCAAAACTAAGTGATTTAGTCTATTATCTATGTGCATCAATTAGTGGCGGCTAAAATAATTGATTACTCAAAATTACGATTGAATCAGTTAATGTTATGAAAGTAATCAATCATAAGTAGTGTTTCTGATTATTACTGTTTTCACTTGTTACAACTACCCAAGTAATCAGTACATTGATGTTATGATTGCACAAAGCTACATAATTGGCCATCTGTGCTCTGCCCAATTTTAAACTTATAAATTATTTTTTAACTACAAGTTTGTTTAACTTTTTTTTTGGGGGGGGGGCTGAGATTCTAGAGTCTTGGGTTTGATTCCCACTGCCACCAAACTTGCTCACCCTGTTTTTGTTATGAAAAAGCTAATAAAGCTACCTGACACTGTCACTAATTTTCAACTACTGACCACCTGCTAGCAATATTTTCTTTTTACTTTTTATATACCATGGTTTGAGGAACAATGTACTAATTAACTCTTTGTCTATGGGTCTAGATGCATTGTACCCAGCCCATAACCACCAAAGTAACCATGCTTGTAGTCATACTAAATGTTTTGATAATATAAGCGTAAGTTCAGGAAATTTTACAGATTAGTAAACATTACAAAGCTTTCATACACAAAATATCAGGTTCTTAAATTAAGTATTAAAATTTTTTTAATTAAATATATGCTCATGATTTTTTTTCTTTCAGAATATTTAAATATCCAACATGGAAAGTAATTTTGGTTTTAAGATTCAAAAATAGTTTTTTTCATTTGAAAATTGCCAAATTTCATTTTCGTAAATTCTATAATCTCCTAAATAACTATTGAATGTTTTTTAGAAAAAATTTATATTTTATCTATTATTTTTTTCTACCATAACTCTATATGGGGTTGGTCGATTTTTATTTCTAGAATGACTAATAACATTTCCCAATCTATATGTCTGAAATTAAAATCACCCATAATTATGATGTCATTAATAGCCAAAATTTTAATCTCACTGTAAAGTTTCTAATTAAAAATTTCATCAGTATCATCTAGTGGCCTGTGACAAATTCCCACTAAAACCTTTTTCTATTTATATCCGCTAATAGAAACCCAAATGGATTCAATCTCTTTGCTATCCTAAGCTTCAACAGGGTGTAACTCACATTTTACATATAAAGCAACTCTTCTCCCCCTCATTTTAATACTCTCTCTCCATATTAAATAACCTATAACCAGGTATTTCAAGGAAATTTTTGTCATAAAAATCATCTACATTTAACCATGTTTAAGTTATTCCCATTATATCAAAAACTTCCATTTCTACCAGTGCTCTAAAGTCAACTATTATATTTTTTGTAATTGAAGCATTACAATAGTAACAATTAAACCTACCCATAGAACTACTTCTATATTCATTTCCCATGCTAAACTTTTCTCTACATCTTTTTTTATATTTAATATATTCCGGTCCTCACCATCTAGTCCTAGTTTAAAACTTCCCTTGCAGCTGAGTTAATAGCCCTTGCAAATAAACCAGACTCTACCTTACTTAAATGTAAACCATTCATTCCAAAAATCTCCCTTCTGCCATTAAACTGATTCCACAAGTCCAACTAGCCAATCTGCTAATCCTTACATATTAACCTAAGCCTATCATTTAGCCCTAGTGATCTACTTATAATTTCATCGCGTATAAAGATAAATTCAGATCGTTTCAATTACTCTAGTAGATGAACAGGTGAAGGATGGATCTTGGACATTCTGTACTCTTTCTTGTTAACATGTTTTTAGTAGCAATAATAATGTCACATTTCTTTTTTCTTTATAACTTTACCTTAGTGGTTTTTAATTATAAAACTGTTCATAAACATAAACAGGAAATTTATACAATCATGTATGAAAAAAATTTCCAAGAAGGGAAAAATAAGAAGCTAAACTAATAACAAAATCATAAATATTTGAGCAAATTTACAGCTATACCAGACCTTCACCATGGCTACTTACAAGTTCCATCCTCACTACCAAAACGAGATTCTGAGGCAATAGTGATGATGCTGGCATTATCAAAGTTGGATTCTTCGTCACTTTCTGGTAACACACTTGGGTCAAGCTTTAGAGCAGATGTCCGACCTCCTATTAACAGTAAACAAATGGTTAAGAGCATACCAAATTTTTATATTTAGAAGTATGCTTATATAGTAAAAACAGAAAACAATACAAACTGTCAAATTAGTGTTATGAAGCATCATCTCTCAACATATCTTGTAGTTCACAAAGAAAAGGTTAATATATTTTGAAGAAATTAATCAAATTGTTTCTTTACATAGATTAAGTCTTCTCTAACAGTAATTATTATCACAAGTATTCTACCTTAAAACTGCAATGCCAGAGTCAAATATTATATTTCATATTTGTTACTAATTTTCAAAGATTTTTTTTCATATTTTGTAATATATATTATTTTCTTAGTTCAAAGCTATACAATGAGCTATCTGCACTCTGTCCACTACAAGCAACTGAACTTTGAATTTTAGTGTCACATGTCTATAAACTTACCACTGACCCACCAGTGGACACAGACCTGTAAGCTGTTGCAATCTGTTATGTGAAAAAAAAAGTTTTTTTGTTTGCTTAATTGTTTATTACAGTAATTTTATTCTCTCATGTCATCATCAGTAGTAGTACTTGCAGAGAAAATGACTGGCCAACTGCAAAAGTGTAAATGATTAAAATATAACGTGTTACTTTCCAAAATAACTACAAAATAAACAGCTAATCTGTTGTTACACTTTTCCTAACAAACATTAAATTAACAAATATTTCTAAGTAATAATTCATGGAAAATTAGTATAAACTGAATAAAGATCATGGCAATTTTGTCATAAATACCTAAATATATCAAGCAGAATTGTCCATCTGTCTGGTGTCTTAACATCACAAATTGTGAGGAAATGGTTGAACCAGTTTAAATGAAATTTGGTAGAACCTCCAAAGATATAAAGTTTAAATAATAGATATTCATACAAATGCATCTAATTTGGCAGCCACACAATGCACGGGTACCTTTACTGACTGCCTTTGTTAAGTAGACATGCAAGCTAAATAATACACTTACTCACCATCCAAATAAAGCCAACAAAATAAATGATGTGCAAGGCTCAAGAACATTAATCCATCAATACATCTGAAGCAGCTTCAGAGAGTAACAATAAGTCCTGCATTTTATTCCAATGTTTAGGTACTTGATGTCAACCATCCAACAAATTTAGGATGAAAATTTGTTAAAAAAATAGCGAATAACAGCTTGCTTTAATGCCACTATAGCAGTCAATATAGTATCCAGGTTTGGTTGTTGTTCAGAGTACAGTGTTTGTTAATTACTTCTCAAATTAATGTTTATTAAAACATCCAACACAACCACAGCATTTGACTGGGGGGGTGTTCAATTGACAAGTCAAGAAATATTCAATTTTTTTTTTATATTAACTGCATATATTGTATTTTACTTAATGTAGGTTACATGAAAATATAAATGGATCATTTTATGGTTTATCTCTAGTCTTCTGATAACAACAAAGCTAATGTTGTACGCATATCCAACATTTTGATGTTGTGTATTGTAAATAAATAAATATTACTATTACTATAGCCCGGCATGGCCAGGTGATTAAGACACTCGACTCGCAACCTATTAAATCTTTCAGCACGGGCTCAGTCCCTGGGACCAACCTCATAACCATTTTTTGCTTGTTTTAATTTTCATGCTATAACTTTTAAATTAGTATGTGTATGTTAAAGAAATTTGGTAGATTTTCAGTAAACATTACAATGCTTTCATATGCAAAACATCAATTTTTTTATTAAGTCTTAAGGTTTGTTAAGCAATGTTTTTCTCATGCCTTTTTTTATCTTTTTGCATGTTGCCTATCCAACATGCAAAGTAATTTTCATTGTAAGATTAAAAACACTTATACATCAGAAAATTTTAAAATTTT